CCTAATTTTTTCCACTCCAGTGTACTCCCAATGTCTAAAAGTTGAAACATTGGCAACGGTGGAAGATATTCCGACTCAATGCAATCAACGGAATCTACTTTTTCAATTTTATGAAGGTGAAATCTTAGGGGTAGGTGCCCTGTGATGACCCCTACAATGTTACGCGGTTCTTTTGCCTAATAGTAGAAGTCCACCATCAACACTACCTCAAAGTACCTTTTATAAGCCCTATGCTACTAGGGTTCCAAGACCTGAGGTCCCCTTGAAGGAGCTGAATGGTTTAGGGCACTTTAGGGGAATTGTGTTGCTGGCTGTTCCCGAACAAGCCAACTTGTCCGGCTTTCGTTTCCTTCTTTTCCTGTATCAATGAAGGAATCCGAATTTCGCCATAAATTATTGCCTAAGGCAACGGTACAACCTCCGAACAAGTTGTTCAGATCGGACTACTACAACCTATAGCTGCCATATAAACTGGGCGATCAAAATCAAGTTCTTGCAAGGAAACTTTTTAACGTTAACATTTTATCCTGCTAATAACTAAGATTGAGACATGGGAAAAGATAGTTTGAGTAGCTTTTGAGAATCATATACTCTATAATAGAAAGAGTTTCTCTTTATATCTTTCCTTATGACAAGAACTGCTTTACACTGAAAATATGTCCGAAAATGTCGAAAGAAAAAGAACGAGAGAGAGCCTCAATGTCATCAAACCGCAATAGTTAGCATAACATATTCAACACAAATACCCTCATTTGTTTTATTAACAGTCTCCCAGTCGTTCTTAATATTTGGAACCCAACTGTATAAAGTACCTATGTATATACTCGTACATAAATATGTATATGAAATTTAAGCAACAAAATAGACAATTGCGCAGCAATTAAAAGTAAGGCACGCAAATGCAATCAAGTAATAAATTAATAAATTACTTAAGTAATAGAAACAAACAAAATAAAATGTATTAAAAAAATAATAATAAATAAATAAGTGATAAAAAAATTCACAAGAATAGGTATTTGTAAACGAGTTTATACTTCATACACAAACAAAAAGCATAAGTCATAAGTAATAAATGATAAATCATTAATCATAAATAGAGAACACGAAGTTCAAGCCAGTGTTACATAAACTTAAGTTGTAGGCTTTAAATGTTAATTAAGAAATTGGGATAAAAAGTTATAAAACAAATCACTGACCATTATATAAATGCTATTGTGAAGCAAACTTAGTGAAAAATAATAAAAATGAAGTATTGCAAAACAAAAATAAGGCTATTGCTAATTGGATGAATTTTGAATAATATTTGTGGAAAGGTAACGTTTGGACCTAATAGAGAATTGATTACTTCACGAACTATAAACGTTTCACAAAGAAAAAGTCCACTGCTTTATCTGTTAGCGCCCGTCTGTACCTGGATACTCCTAAGATACCCCACACACACATAAACCTTTAAAATCTGGCCGAAATGTGTTCGAAACCTACGGTTCTTAATAGATTATGAAACCAATAAGCAGTTGATGCACTGGATATCAAAGTAAACGCTCTAGCCAATCCAGTCAATATCCACCCAGTCCATTAGTGTAGATAATTTACTAATTGATTTTGTCACGGAGACTTCAACCATGCCTTAGAACTTTAAAAGTGAGTTGAAGTAAAAAGTAATCAGTTAAAATATTATAGTTTCACTTATTGAATTTTTCTCCAAAAAAAAGCAAAAGGTTAAATTAATTGTTCTACACTAATTTATTTATATGATATTTCATCTTAATATGCTATATACCCCTAAACCTAAATGAAAACATACATAACAAAAAATGATCTAACGTTTAACAACTATTAACAGTAAACTCACTCAATCACAATGATTGATCATACACTTTATCAGCGGGTTCATAGGCACTTCAGCGTCACACTCAAAAGCCGCTTCGAACTGTGGCATATTCATGAAACTTCTATTAATCAATAAGCTAAACCAGTCGTCATTGCGTCCACAATGCAACTGCGCAACGGCATAGAACATAATGCGTTTCGAAGTCAATTGGAAATGTTCCAGCACAAAATCCTCAGCGAATGCGAAAGATTCGCCCTCCAACCAGAAGTCATAATCCCTTAAAGATTCGACGAAAGCGCGATAAAACCGAAAAAGCTCAGCAACTTGTGATTCGCCCAGCATTTGATAAATCGGCGCAACTTCGTAATTCAATAGCGATTGTCGTTCCAAGCAATATACGGAGGTGTAGTAGCCATCTGAACTGTACAGTAAATCCGATTTATGCCACAAATCAAAACCTTGTGTAGCGAAATAATGAAATAAAGGACGTTGTAATGACAAAATAGTGAAATGCAGAAAATTGCGCAAGAAATAGATGGGATGATTATAGTCTTCGGGGTCGATGAAAGCGGTGAAAAATGTATTTCTCAACTGGCGACGGCGCAATGTCAACAAATTGCCATAAAAATTTCCTTCTTCGAATTTGTCTGCCGCATAAATTTCGGTGAGATTAGCAGGTTCCAAGTAAGTTTTGGCATAAGTAGAGAGGAGGCGCGGCAAATTAAAATCACTACGTTGTAGCTTCGCATATAAAAAGCGATCCCACTGTTCACCCAAGAGCACAGTGCGTCGTTGCTCTTGAAAGCGTGTAGTGTGATAAAGATACGTAGCTAAAGCGACTTTACGACTAAAATGCGCATTGAACACATCCCAATTCCAGTATTCGGAGAGCAGTAGCGCTTCGAACTCGTCCGTGAGCAGAAAGCAATCTTCGTAACGTAGAGTGACGTAGGCCTGCCAAAGCACAAAATTAAATAGTACGCTTGGGTGTGTCGAACGTATGAGCGCAGCGGTATCATCTAGCCGCTCCTCATCGGTAATTATTTCACGTGCGGTCCACACATCTTTCTCGTTGAAACGCAAACTACTATGATAATATTTAAAGTACTTCACGTAGCTAAACGAATTTAATGTTGAATCGTCGTAACTGCCATTTTGCCCACCTTTATCACCGTGCAATTCGGCATCAAATGGTAACTCACCGATAAGCACACGGCAAAATGCGCGCAACTCGCTAGCGATCACATGCGCCGCCTGCTCGTCGCCGTTGTCTCGAAAAGTCAACAACTGCGCTTGCCAATCCGCCAACGTTTCGCAGCGTACATCTTGCCGAGCTCTAATCGGCGCCACAAAGATTGTAGCCTCTGCAAAGAAGATGCGCACGAAACTCGTAACGCCATGCGCCGCCAACTCCGCGGCCAACTGTAACCAATCGAGGTAGGCATGCTGTGCCAACAAATCATCCCATTCATGACGCAGCAACGGCCATGTTTTATATAGCCGCGCATTCTCCGCGAGGAAGGGTATTTCACGTAGCATTCGACGCCATTGAGTAAGCGGTCTGCGACCGAATAACTTGTTCTTCTGTTCGCTTTTCTTACAGGAAGCATAGAGCGCTGCAAGCAGCCGACCCGGCGGTGTGCGGAAGTTCGCTTTATTGCGCTCAAAAAAATGCATACGATCTTCATAGTTGTATAAATATGGAGGAACTGTAGTCGGCTTTTCGGCGCTATCTACACTCAGCTGCAGCTCGTCGTTCAGCGCTTCTTTGTAGTAACCGCAAGCGTGCGCAAAGAAATCTTCACACGGATCTGCATCCTCATCGAGTATGTTAAGCATATGAGTGAGCTGTTGGCGATAAAGACGCGAGACTGTGTGTCCCGTGCGCACTTTTGGTTCGGCCGTGTGACATTGGCCGCCTTGTTGAACTATAAATAAACACAGTAGAATGAGAAACCGACGCGGACGCTTTTCATTCATCTTTCGATGATATCGCGTTGCTTTCGCAAGTCGAACTGATTTTCGCAAATATGCAAAATGTCTAATATTTGTCTAATCGCGAAACTCTTTAACGTTATTTTATTGTTATTTTGTATTTATAAAATTTTGTTTTAAAAAACTGATAAGAATATTTAATATTGAATCACTCTGAAAATAGGAAATACATGTATGTATGTGGGCATGTAGCACTTGACCTTAAATAGCGCGAAGCTCACTGTCGCCTAAGACTCTCTATCTATTTTAGCTCTCACAAGCAAAACAAAACAAAATACTCGAGAGCATATATATTTTATTTATACTCTCAATATTATTGATAATGTGCTGTGAAGTCAATATTTTATTAATTTATGATTAACCCTTTGTTCACACCAAGAACTACGCAGCATAATTCCACCATTCAAATATCAATACATCAAAATAAAAGAGGGCGACGTCATAAGTACATAGCCTTCGAAAGAAATAGGAAAATTTTTGAAATATGGCGATCACTTTCTCAGTATACTATACTCCTTCTACCTCGATACACATGACCCGCCATTCGAGTCAAATTTCTCCCTACAAATAACCGTTTTTTGCAATCTGTCTTTGAGTCGTCAATATTTCGGCATAGTAATACGAGATCGTGGACTTTTGTTAATTTAGGCATTTACCTAGCCCCTGAACGTCCGTCCTCACCAACACCCGTTGAAAGTTGTTAAACCACATTTTAACGATTGCCACGTGGAAGCGGAAGTGCCATACACAGCAATAATTTAACTGTTCGTATATAGCTTCTATGCGCTCTTAAATTTCTCTGCACGATTTCTTTACAAAAACAAGAATCGTTTCATCAACCGCTATTGCCCTTTTTTAAATTTTTTTTAAATTCCAATGCCATGTCCGCTTCAACGGCTAATTTTCGTACCGCCGAACATCTTCATATCCTACCAGATTTGACTTGCCTCGAAATTGAACAAGCGAAACGGAGCCGAATTTTTATCCACACAAAGATTGTCAACACAGCAGCATTCCTCCAAATTATTTTGGGAACTCAGAGTGTAAAGCACATACAAATAGCTGGCATGAGAAAATTCATTCGGATTTCGAAATTTGAAGGTTAGCTTCAATTTATGTAACAGACAGTTTAATCCTGGCGAAAATATCGAGTTCTTAAGTGCAAACAACGGTGTAACATATTTAACTGTTTTTATTATCGTTTTATTTTTTATTAAATATACAGGGTAGTCAAAATACTACTAATTACATAGGTATGTATGGGTGTATGTATAGTATGTGCTTAAATTAATGTTCCACCTGTTCAGGCGAAGGTCAAAAGCATTTAAACAGGATGTGAGTAGATGAACGAAACACGAAAATAAATGAATATGATAAATTTCGTAGACTTTTTTAAAACGACATAGTATGAAGTTTATTTAAATTTGAAAGACACATCAATCGTGGGATTAGTAATACTTGCAGTATTTTATTTACTTGAGAATGAATCTATTGCCCGCCGTTAACTTGCATACTCAACGTTTCAACTTAATAATGTAAAATTTGATGGCGCACGTTTTGACGGAAACAGAAAATAAAAACTAAATAGCACGAGTACATATATAGTCGACACATATGCACGTAAAGCCACGAGACTAAGTCGGTTTACAACCATTTTCAATTCATTTACCAATTTAAAAAAATTTGCACACACATCCACATATGGACATATGTGTGTATATTGTAAAAATAGTAGCTAAGTCTTTTTCAAGTGCAACTGCAATCTTGATTCTCATAAGTTTGGCTTAAAGTTTCAATTTTAACGCGATTAATGGCGATCTTTGCAAACCCTTCTATATATTACGCATACAATTAAACGTTAAATTACTTAAATTAACTTATAAATTAACTAACTACACGGACAATCAAGTTATCTGTGTGTGTGTAAGACATTCTTACGCATCACTGCTGCTTAGCGTCCGACTGCGACTGTAGCGCCGCGCCGCCGCTGCCACCATAGCCACCGGATCGCCGTCAGCCGCAGTGAAGTCTGGCCATTTAAGTATATCGAGTAATTTCAGTTTCAACTCTGTTGTCGCCGGACGCTCGGTTGGTTGTTGGGACAGCATCAATTGCAATAGCTCGTGTTCCTTGGGATAGTTATGTGGAAACTCCAGTGGATAGCTGCCATCCCGGAGCTGGCGCAATGTTTTAATGCGCTCCATTTCGGTGCCGAAGAATACGAGTAACTCGAAGAAGATCAAACCCAACGAATAAATGTCCACCTTAAAGTCGTAGTGTTGGCCACGCAGCTGTTCGGGTGACATATACAAATGTGTGCCGACCTGTTGTGTGTGACGCGCGCACGATGGTAGTCCAGTGGTGTCGCCACACTTTGTCACCATGTTTGGTATATCGGACATGTCGGTGACGAGTCCAAAATCACCGATTTTTATTTGACCATCTTGTGAGAAGAATATATTACTGGGCTTGAGATCGCGATGTATGAGCCCCTTTAAATGCACATAGTCCACCGCATCGACAATTTGGTGGAAAATGCTGGCGACATGACTTTGCCGTGACTCACAGCGATTTTCGCGCAGCCAATCGCGTAGACACTCCTTGCGGCACAACTGCATTTGTATGTACAGATAGACCTTGTTTTGTTGCGGCTTTGGTGTGGCTTGCAACAGCGACGAGACCGGCAACAGTGCCTTACTATTATTACTATTCTCAATATTTATGTCAACTTTGCCCAGTTCCAAGGAGGCGGGGCGTTGTTTTATTTTAGTGTTTGTTGTGTAGTTGTTGTCGTTCAACGAACGTTCCAGATCCTTGGAAGTCCACACATCAGCATCATTCGTTTGGCCAGCACAACCGCTATCTTCGTTGGTTTCGTCACCGTTCGCCGAACGCACAAACTCAATTTGAAACGAGTCGGAGAGTTGTGAGTAATCCATATTCTTGCCGTTCTTTGGCAAACTCATATCAAATAAATTGGAATGAATATCAATAGAAATGGAATTTCTATGCAACTTGTTGCCATTCACTTGCTTATCCTTTTTAGTGCTATCCGTTTTGCTTTCTTCCTCGCTGTCGCTATCGCTCTCCCTCTCATCATCAATTTCATCGCTACATTTCATTGCCAGCGACTGTGACTCTGAGCGAAAGATAATGCATGAATCGTCGTCTTCGTCTTCTTCAATGCAATTGTCATGAAAATGTTCGGAGCCACAGTCCGTATTATTCAGGCTAGACATCCAAGAGAGCAATTGACGTTTGCGTTCGACCTGCAATTGACGTCGCGGCGGCTGCTGCGGCAGTGCTGCATTTTCGATGGAAGGCAGTGTTGTGCCGTCGGGCGTCTCAATTTGTATGGACATGGACATCTCATGTGCCAACCATTTACTGTCCTCTTCCTCCTGCCAGCCAGGCGGTGGGGTTTCAACCCAAGCCTGTGAAGCAAAAAATTCGATTTAAGCAACTAACAATCGAGTAAAACTATTTGCACGAAGAAACAAACCTGAAAGTAGCGTACAATATTCTGATGTTCGCAATTGGCTAAGGTCTTCACTTCACGCATAACGCGTTCGCGCGATTCCTTCTTATTTGGTAAGGTTATACGCTTCACGGCGTATTTGCAGTCATCCAATTTGTTTTTCGCTTCGAAGACAACACCGAAACCGCCGCGTCCCAGACAGTGCATCAAATCGAAATCACTGAGGAAACGCGAACTGAAGTGCTCACCCGAACAAGAGGTCGACTCTGAGAGTGAACGATGTACATTGGCGGAAGCATTCACAGTCCCGTTCACGCAATCCATTGTGGGTCCCAAAAGCGCAACTGTGGACTGTTCGGTCGCTTCATAAGCGGTGGGTACTGGCACATGACGTTCAATTACCAAAACTTCTTGACGCTGGCGTTGTCCCAGAAATAGATTCACTAGTACTGCAGTGGTCAAGGCGATTACAACAACTTCCTTCCACCAAAACCATAGTGACAGTATGACAACCTTAACGGGTGCATCGATATCGTCAAGACTAAAACCCAAATCAACGCTGCCGGAATGATTGGTGTTATTCACAGCAATTCCAATATCATCATCATCCGCATTATCATCTAAATCCATGTCGCCTTCTTCATCTCCTTCTGCCTCATCTTCGTCTTCCTCTTCGGTTATGCAGCGTACATTTTCATTTTGATTCATATCTTCACGAGAATATAAATAAAAACCATTACCATTCACAAACTCAGAAGCATTAAGTACAGACTGTGCTGACACCGCGAATCTTTCCTCATCATAAGGTACTAACTCATTGCCTTGTATAGCTTCATTTATATTCGGTAGTATGGTAACTCCATTTGACGACTCCACCGGCTTCTCATCTGTTAGCACCTTTTCATTCTTTATTAATGCCAAAGAGTTACTGCTAGCTGGTATGGGGCGCCACGGTATTACCGGCATCGGGGAGTCAGTTGTTAAGTGTGTGTATAAATTTGACTGAACGTCGATCTCACGGCGCAAAGTAACCGATTCCTGTGTTAAAAAAGATATTACAAATACTTGTGTAAAATATTAAATAGAACTCCAAATACCTGTATATACAATTGCTTATCATACATGCCGAGGTAAATCGAGGGACTCATCCATTGTATGGGCGGATCGAATATATTATCTGTATGGTCCCATATCCACTGAGCGGAGCTAAACAAATCGATTGTTTCCAGCTCATCATCTACGCCAATCTTCCAACCACTCACAATGGGATGATCAAACTATGAATGGTAGGTATTAAATAGTGAATAACCAAAGTTAATGTTTTTTGTTTTTTTTTTTAGTAATTTTTTAAATTTCTTACCTTGTATTTCCACAGCATTGCATTCGGATCTGTCTTGCTGAACGCGCAAATTATACCCTCCGGCACCACTACCTTTATATCCAAATCCAGCAGGGCCATATCCATTTCGCTGTATGGACGATCGTGGCATTCAGCCGGTTTAATCATATTCAACTCGTGTTGACCCACACTGAAATTCCAACGTTCTACACCGGTACGCGATTCCACAGCGCGTACAGTTTGCGTCTGTCGACGCACAACAATCACATCATCAACGAGGGGATTGTGTTCTATTTGCGTTTCATCACCACTTATTGTATTACCATTTTTATCGTCGCCAGTTGCAGACTCTCTCGCGTCCGTTGAATTAATACAGCCATTCATTGAACACTCGTACAACAGTTGACCCGTGCGTATGGATACACCATATGTGCGTGTCTCCTTGCCACCCGAAATTACCAAATCATCGGAGAACTTCGCCGAGGAGCTAAGCAAATTTTCTGTGGTTATCGGTATGGGATCAATGGAATCACCATCGAATTTATAAATGCCCCCACTCAAGGAAGGTATCATACGCACGAATTGTCCATTATTTGTCAATTCAAGACGATGTATGCTAGACGATATGAGCGGTCCGGGACTGGTTGGCACGCTCCAATGTAATTTACCACCTTTGCTGACGTCAAGTGCGGATAAACGACCGTCTAGCGTTGTTATATACAATAGTCTGAAAAGAGAGCGTTTGTTTATAATGGGTGATCCAAGTCCAGGTACTTTTTTCAAAAGTCTTTTTTTTTTGTAAGATCACGCGTCGTGTCAAGTTATTTTGGTCAGTATTGTTTATCGTTTAACTTTATTACGAAAATTTACGTTCTGTAAAGAATGTGTTTCGAGCACTTCGCTCAACTTATGGTCAACATAATCGGCCTACTGAGCGTACTATTCACAATATTATCACCCAGCATTCATTATTTGATCATTTTCGACCGAATAGACTACGTCCAGTACGTAGTGAAGAAAATATAGCGGTCGTAGCTGAGTGTTCGTATCAACTCGGACTGACGTATGGAACGACTTGGCGCATTTTATGTCGAAATTCTAAATTGTAACCGTTCAAAATACCGCTTGTGCAAGAATTGAAGCCACTCGACCTTCCCAAACGACATCGCTTCGCTTTAAAATGGGTTCTTTAAAAGTTCCAAGATCCGACGTTTTCGAGCCAAATTTTGTTCAGCGATGGGGCCTATTTCTGGGGCCAATGGGTATGTAAACAAGCAAAATTGCTATATTTGGGACGAAGAGCAATCAGGAAAGATTCAAGAGCTGCTATTTCATCCAAAAAAAGCAACGGTTTGGTGTGGTTTGTGAACCGGTGGAATCATGGGTCCATATTTCTTCAAAAATGATGCATGCTAACAGACTATTTGATGTCTAAAATTGAAGCTCATGATCTCGGCGACACTTGTTTTCAACAAAACGGCGCCACTTCCCACACATCGCATCAATCAATAGATTTATTGAGAAAACACTTCAATGAGCAGATAATTTCACGTTTTGGGCATGTCGATTGGCCGCCAAGATCGTGTGATATCACACCGTTAGACTTTTCCTGTGGAAAAAGTATAAACGGACAATCCCGCTTCGATTGAGATCTTAAAGGAAAACATCACGCGTGTCATTCGACAGTTACCAGTCGAAATTTTTGAAAGAGTCATCGAAAATTGGTTTCAATGGATTGACCATCTGAGACGTAGCCGAGGCCAATTATAAAAAGTAGAGAACCTCGAAATGGATCACCCTATATTTATCACAATAGATTGAATAATTAATATATACTCCGGTGATATATTTGCCACTTGTTATTATTTATCACAACACGAATCAGAGGAGGAAGAGAAAAACAAAAACACAGGACAAATAAAAACAAAAGCACAAACACATTTACATGCATATGAACATTTTTATTTATACAATTTTTTTGTGTTTACGCCTCCACATTTGATTTTCACATTCGTTTAGTTGATTGTTCAATTACGCTTATCGGTTCCGCAAAAATAACCCATAATAGGTATTAAATAGAAATGAATGCATGCAAAGATAACCGACTTTCCTAAAATACAACCTAAACTCATCAAGCAAGAGTACCAATAACAATACATACAGCGAATGTTCAGAATATTTGTCAATTCCATTATTTTCCACAACACTATTACTACAACAGTCTGTGTGTGTTAAAAGGTTGATTTTCGCCAATTACGATAAAGTTCTAATCTCCATGCTATTCATCAAAGGAGTAAAATTGTAACAGACCGACTAATTTATATACCCTTTCTACCCAAAAGATATCGAAATGTTTTTATTCTGAAAACTTAAAACAAAAGCTGGAGTTAGGGGTTTAAATAAAAAATAATTATGTAAAAAGTTTGACGTAATAACTCGAAAGTATAACCCAGTTCTTGGGTGGTGTATAAAATGTGCTACCTACCATATATTATCAATTTTTAAATGAAATCCACAATCTCAACAATATTTGCTTCTGTAAGGTTTAAAATATATAATTATAAATATAGCAAAATGCAACAATTTCACTGGTAAACGCTCGTGCAATGTATGAATTATTATATTTTTTATTATGACAACAGTAATCGTGTATTTTCAGTGCGTTACCTTTCGTTAATTGTTAAATGCAATTAGTGCATGAGTCATAGAAGCAATTTACGTTTATAAATATGTAGTAAAAAATTATATACATACATACGAACGATTTGGTTATCAGGCTATTCCAAACACAACTCAGTTACCTATGTACATACATAAATATGTAAATGTCTGGTTACATTCGGTATACATTTTAGCACTGGATTTTTAAAATCTAAAAACAGCAGAACTATTTTTAACATAACTTATATATTTCAGTAACTTCTAGTAATTAATGCATATTCATCATCAGGGGATTTTTTTAAGGGCTGTGTATTTCAAGGCCTCCCGTTGACACAATTGCCGTTCTAAAATTTCTAAAAATGAAAGTAATGTTTTTATTGTAATTTAATAAAAAAAAACATCATTATTTGCCTACAAATGTACATGTTATATTTATTACATGTTTATCGGCGATAGAGATCTGAAATTGCATCAGCAACATCAGTATCAATGTTGTTGCTTGCTCTGATTTTGTATGCATGTAATGAATGTATAAACATTTGTGATTCATCTTTTTAGGCATCACACATTTTCCCAAAAAAGCGCGCCAAAACCTGCCCCTTTTTCTGTATGCCCAAATCACTGCCGGCAAAAGTTTGAGCGCATGATTTATTTGTATAAACAGTGTCTTTGCTCTCCATTTCGCTGGTTGTTTCGTAAATAAACCTTCGATTTGCAAAAGGCCACATCATCTTCAAACATTTTTTTTGCTAAAGGGCGCAGACGCAAGTTTTAGCATTGGTATGGTGTAGGCTGGTCAGTTGTTTTATTTAAATTCAGCCAGCCTCTAAAAATTACCTTACCGAAAGAAAATGTACATATGTATGTTAAATAAAATTAAGTCAATTCAATGTCGGCAATATAATTTCCTTACTAGCGCTCTCCGCTGCGCTGTCCCACACTAAAGTTGCTAATGAAATTATGTTTTTATACATAAATTTAGTGTGTATTGATACATTTGTTTGTATAATTTACTTTCCACTAAGCTTACTTGGATTAACTCACACAGCAATATTTTATAGTGAATATTGTGAAACATCTTTGTTTTTAATTTTAAAATTTGTCTAAATTAAAAACTTTTTACATACGCTATCTTGATTTTTTTAGTTAATTTTTTATTAAATTGTTTAAAAATATAACCTTTGAACATATCAACAAAATAATTTCAAAAAGATTTTTCATGTGCAAGCTACTTACATATGTATGTATGAACTTACATACATATATCATTAGTCTTTTTAAATTTGGTAGCCAAACATGAATATGGAGATACTTATATTTTCACCTATACTGGACCGCATAATTATCAGAATTTTCTCTAAATCCAATAATATAGCTGATTAACCGATAAAATCACTATATAACTTCTGCATGTTGTCATGTGCATAAATACCTATATGTTTCTAGAACATTTTCGAATTATCTGTAGGTATGCTGTTATATGATATTCCAATGTATAACAGCATAATCTCTTGCTGTAAATTGTGATGAGATTATATGCAAGGACTTACCTACGTCCTATAGTGTGATCTGTATTATCATCGTCACAGAACGGGATAGCGGCGGCGCGGCGATTTAGTTGCAAGGTCTGTTCATCTATGGGAATTGGGTTCTCAGCTCCAACACTTCCTATAATATTTGTCATTGTGGCAGCAGCAACAATAGAGGTGATAATCATATGTTGAAGTAATGATTTGCGGCACTTCCTGACGACATTCAAGTCTCTTTGAATGCCCATATTATATGATACAACGCCGCAATATACACCACCGATAAATAAAGCGACGAATGTGGTCAGCGAGTATAGCAAGACCAAACAAAAATAACAGAAAAAAAATAAAATTTCACACGCTCGATTTTATGTTGCAGAAGCGAAGCGTGTACGAAGCCAATGGAAATGGTTAGGTGAACAGAGAAACGTATGATGATAATTAGGGATAGGTGAAGGAGCAACGTGTGAAGCACCCAACAACGATGGTGCTCTTTTCCGCATTACTTAGGTTTTACGTTTGCCAACTTATGTAAACTATGGTTCGAACAGACTCCTTTTTATATTATTATTTTGCACTATTTTATATGTAAATTAAAAGTAGAAAAACAAAATATTTAATATGGTCGAAACAGTGAAAACCACCAAAAAACAACCGATTCAACGACGAAGTTTTGCAATGACAACTGTAAATGAACTGTCAATGTTATCAGGTGGCATAAATTTCCTAGCTTTACGCTTAGGAAGTGTTCCGAAACCGGTACTTTTTTGCAAAGAATAGGAATTTAAAAAAACATTTAGGCTTTGTTTTTATTTAATGTAGTGTACATTGTAGATTTATACAATGGTAGTGTATCATTTACTACAGAATTAAATCATCGACGGAGTAATTTAATGTAATGTAATTATTAACGAGAAACTATACTATAAGTTAAGGCTTCATAAATCACCCTCATGCTCAATTAAAACGTAAATCTTTATTGACTTTGAAAGCATATGTAATTTTTATGTTCCTTAAATATAAACAAATAAATTTATTGTATGGATAAACCTGTATGTAGGAATTGTTAGTTTATATACGTTTAAACTATAGGTTTAAATTTCATAACTTATTTTCGAACTTCACTTTAAACGGAAACTAGACCTTACTGAGTTTGGGTTTAAAACGAAAATTGTCTTTGTTTTTACATATGTACATTTGCGAATGGCAGGCACCTTGCTGTGGTGCAGGGGCTTAAGTCCTAAGGCATTCTCGGCATCTTCCCACCGGGATTAGGAGTGCTGCCTAGCACCTCTCACACCCGTTGACAGAAGCCACATGCGTGCTACAACCAAGAGCTGCCAAATCCTAATCCAGGGTGTCATGCGACTCCCGTGCCCATTGGATGATTTGCAGCCAGGAGGTAAATTCGACTGTATTCGAACTGAGCCTTCCCAACACCGGGACGCGTTGGGAAGTAACGGTGTCCTTACCGTGTCATAAGGCTCTGGCGCGGCTGTTTTTTGCGTACCCCATATTGATGGAAATCCACTGCGGCCAGCGCTGACAAAGCAAACCCCATCGAGACTCCCTCGATACTTGACGATATGCGTTAATTACGCAACTGTTGTTGTTTTAGCAAGTATAGATGATATAATTATGCAACTGTTGTTGTTGTAACGAGTGGATAGTATCTAATTAAGCAACTCAACACAGTCGCTTGTTTACGTATTAATGTTTAATAAATTAAAATACCAATTTCAAGATGTAATTTAAGTTCTTATTATATATAATTATAATGTACGAATAACAATTTTATTTTTACCACAACTGTAATAATTTCTTTTACTAAATTTGTTCAAATGCCGCACATGCAATGAAACTGATTAAACAAAAAAATTTCGTACGATCTTTTTGCCAAAACTCAAATAAGCAAAAAGTAACATTTTCAGAAGATAATAAAAAAAAAAATTGTGAATAATACGAAAACACATATGTACGTGAATAGTGTGAAATGAGGAATGCTACAAATTAGATAATTTATGATTTTTCAGATGTTTCCGATACCACAATGTTTTGTTTAAACCTATTTAATTAAATAAATTATTGGGAAGTAATAGCGGGCTCGTTGCTTTTCCAATTGATGCAATCATTCAACTTCTGTTTGAATTGATTGGCTAGATCAACACTCTTGAAACGTACCGCCAATTTTTCCACTTCGCCTTCAGACGATTCGGCATAGTTTAACGCTGCCCAAATAAAACTTTTTGGATTGTTATTCATGTTGTTAAAACTGAAATCAGCGCCGACTGCATGATTCAATACCAATTTGTGTATTTGCTCACGCCTCATTACCAGGCGATATGTATGTTTGGTTTTGTGTTCCAAAATTTTGAGCTCACCAACACCTGCGTATAAATTATAACATGTATTTATTTTCCTGTATATGCAATTATTGGTATAATATATATTTCTTACCGCGTTCCTTCCACTCTTTCGTGTTAGCATCGTAACGGTAAAGTGTCGCACGTTCACCGAACAATTTCGTCTCATCTTCCTCACCGGTACTTACTTGAATTTCATCTGGCAATGCAATTATAGGTTCATAATGTGGATCATAGTTTTCATTATCATCATTTTGGGTAGAATCGTTAGCGTTGCCATCCTTTGACGCATTATGTGCCGACTTGGAGAAGTTAGAAAAGGCATTTTCATCGGTTAGACCAATGAAACCGCCGGGACCTGGTTTTTCTGAGGATTTGTTGGTGTTGGCGGAATTTGCCTTCGCAGCTAAACTGGCAAAATCAGTCACGCCAGCTTTGTTCGAAAGATCAGCAAAGCTGGGTGCGGCTACAGTTTGCTCCTTCGGAATACCACCAAAAATGTTTGCTTCTGTATTGGGGTTTGCAGTATTTGCACTATTACCACCGCCAAAGATAGAGCTTTGCGTGCTAGTGGCGTTTCCAAAACCTGAAAATGTTGAACTGCCAAATATCGAGGTGCCTCCACCTATGGTATTAGCTGTTGAGTTAGTTGTGCTACCGAAGATCGATTTGGTTGTTGTGTCATTGCCAGCAGAAGATTTGTCATCGAAAATTGAACTGGAGCCAGAACCGAAAACTGGTTTCCCACCGAATATCGATCCACTGCCAGCGTTACTAGCAATTCCGCCGAAAATAGTTTTTGGCTTGTCGCTTTCGGATGTGGTAGAATCCGCGGCTTTGATTAAAGAATTGGCGGCATTGCCGAAAATAGAGGGTGTTTGTCCAAAAATGGGCTTTTTATCTGGAAAGGTGAAAGAAATAGTAATATTTTTAGCAAAAGGGCCAAAATTTATAGCATGCCTTATAAATGATCCGCTATATAATACTTAACTTACCTCCGCCACCACCAAAAATAGAGCTGCCACTCAAGCCACCAGAGCCAGCATTATTACCAAATAAAAATGTTCCACTTGTTGCGCTCATCTTATTTTCATCATCTTTTTTGACATTATTCATAGCAGCGGTGAATGAGAAACCACTAGCACTCTTTTCGCCAGTAGCACCGAAAGCTGTAGAGTTCACGCCAGCAAAGCCGGAAAATATATTCGATTCACCCGCTTTAGGAGTGGCTGTAATGTTGCTAGGGGTAAGCGTTGTGACTGTAGGTGGGGGTACCATCGGTGAGAGAGCACTTTGCTTCAGGAGTGAACGATTCGCATTGTTCGCACTATCGACTTTAGGTAATGACAAAACGGGCAATTCGAATGGTTTTAATACATTTTCATTGTCCTCAGCATGAACGAATATTTCAGTGGCCTTTCGTACAGGGAAAACAAATGTATCCGGATCACAACCACGACAACCAGTACAGGGTGGTTGCGCTGTAAAGAACTCATACGGTAGTTGCAATTTCTCAGCAGTCATCCTATCCGCCTCCGACAAAGCAGCTGGTGGGGTTCCAATCTCCTTTTCGCTCTCCACAATATCAGTCATATTTAATGTAGTATTCGTAGATATGCTACCCGCACTCTCGATGGCAAGAGCCGTTCCCGCAATGGCACTTTTCACTACATCCATAAAACCTTTTGCAATCTCTTTATTCTTGAAACGCAGTGAGAATTTTTCCAACTCAACGGTGCCCTCACTAAAATCGTTCACAACAAATAGCCACGATTTATCATCCTTGTGTTTATACTCGACTTCCTCGTTCAGCACATGATTGAGGCAGATTTTCAACACCTGTTCACGACGCATTACCACTCGCAACTTTTTGGTTTGTTTGTGACGCAATATCTTAACATCGCCTAGACCACGCTCCTTCCATTCGCCATCGACAAAACGATATAATTTGGCACGATGCACATAGAGTAATTCCTCATTCTCTTCGCCAGTTTTAACGTCAACCTAAAAGGACAATGAGGATATTAAAAACAAATAATATATATATGAAAATTATTATAACACAAATAAAAGAGTTAATTTAAACAAACGAATATATAATAAGAAAAAAAAAGTTGAAAGTATTTAAAACAAGAAAAAACAAAGCTATAATACCCTTCAAAGGTGCATTTTTTATGCATAAAAGGGTATAAATAGATTATTGTCCTGATTTTTTTCGACCAGTTGGAATGACAGCTAAATGCTATAATGCTCCGACCTGAACAATATGTTCGGAGATTGTATTATAATGTATGCCAAATTTCGTGAAGACATCCGTCAAAAAAAAAATTTTCATATAGTGGTCTGGTGATCGGAAAATTCTAGCGATGCCTTTGATAAAAATGATTGCCAAATTTCGTGAAGATATCTCGTCAAACAAAAAAGTTTTTCATACTAGGGCATGATTTTGACTGTTCAGCTTGTATATCAACTGTACGCTGTAGTAGCTCGATATCGGCGGTTCCGACAAATGAGCAGCTTCTTGGGTAGAAATGCACATGTGCAAAATTTCATACCGATATCTCAACAACTAACTAGTTCGCGTACATACAGACAGACCAATCTACATGGCTAAGTCGATAATATGTTATAGGGCCTCCGTCGTTGCCTTCTGAGTGTTACAAACTTCGTGACAAACTTAATATACGCTGTTTTGATTTTGAGTTTCTGGTAAGAAATTCTTAGGCAGTTTGTATTTGGAACAAGGGAAAAATGCTGATAGTGTTATTTGCGAAAAAATAAAAGCATAAGATCGAGTGAAAAACACAATTATCTCTCCACTTCAGGGAGAACACAACTTTTCCCCGCTACTAACCTTATCTGGAAGTGGTATAACCGGTGTAAAGTAAGTGTTGTTCTCCTCCTCTTGGTAATCACCATCTTCAACATCGTCCGCCGCGGCATCTGCATCACCGCCGCCCCCACCGCTCGACTTACCGGGACTCTTAGGCTTCAAAGTGAAATTGAAATCTTTTTTATCCAAAGAAAACATTGACGTGGATTCTCCACCAGCACCGGAACTTTTCGACTGCGACTGAAATGAGAATGCGGGCTTGGATGTTGTTGGTGCATTCGTTGAGGTTGCCGGTGTAAACGTAAAGGACTTAGTCTCGTCAGTGGTGTTTGTATTAGTCAAACCACCAAATAAAGATTTGCCAGATTCAGTTTGGGCGCCACCAAAAACAAAACTGCTTGTAGGCGTTGTTGTATTAGCTGTTGCTGTGGAAGTGGCAGCGGCGGCCGCACCAAAACCAAAACTAAATTTCTGCGCTGGATTTGAGAGAGCAAGTACATCGTTCGTTGATTCCTTTTTAGGTACTGTATCGTCTTTGGGTGCATCACATGCCTTGCAGTAAAGAGCGTCAGCTGTGTTCCCCAAATAGCAACCCTGACATGTCCAAGAACCCACTTTCGGTTTAAATTGATCACCGAAACCTGATTTTGATGTCATTGTCGTAGTGGTGGCGGGTTGTGGTGTGCTAACCGTATTATTTGCATTTGCTGTAAGGATACTTGAGGTAGCCGCAGGCTTACCGAAAGTAAAGCTATCAGCTGCTTGAACTGGTGCCGCTGCACTGCCATTCGCTGCTGGTGAGAAGCCAAAAACAAACGATGCCTTTGGTGGATTAGTTAGGAGCACATTTGTCGTGTCTTTTTTGGGCACAGTGTTATCCTTTGGCGAATCACAAGCAATGCAATATTGTTTGTCAGCGGTATTCGATATATAGCAAGCGGAACAGTCCCATGAACCGGCTTTGGGTTTGAAAGCATCACCAAATCCTTTGGCGGCCGCTTTACCATCCGTTTTTTCTGTTGATTTCTCCTTTGACGGCTTCCCAACTACAGCGGCGGCGCCAACGTTCTCATCAACCTCATCGCCCATATTTGCTTGCGCCTGCAATACGGCGTCATGGAAT